TCCCAGATCGCTTTCAATCTTTAGGCTCCCTCTTCAATTAATTCTTTTGCAGTTTACTTGCACAACTTAAATGTTCAGCTGTTTACCCCCACTTCAAAGATTGTGCTGTTTGTATTTTCTTAGTGCTGTCAAACATGTTTCTTAATTCTGTGTATCTTTGGTAAACGGAGAGCTACTTTTAGAAACATGATCTGATCTATTTTGTAAAAAATATATTGTTTTTTGTATCCCCAATACCATCATCCAGGATACAGTGTCTGATTCTCTTTTCCCTGTAAAGCAGCCACTAATGATTACCGATTAGTTTTCTTATTTTAGTAATATAAAACCTCTAGAAACTCAGAAATCATAGCTCGGTTACTTTCAGTGACATAAATATCTTCCAAGGAGAAATGTGACAACATTCACCAGCAAGTCAGTTGGCTACAACTTTATGATGTAACTCGAATAGGACTCTTTTACAACTTTTCCCCTACTGTCACATTAGTTCCAACTCTGTTTGCTCTTGCTTAAACAGCTCACATAGCTCCTTAATTATTTTTTGGTTTCTGCCTTTACTTCCTTCAGCTTTCCCACAGGTTAGCAGAGCAAGTCTTCAAAGATCACCTTTTGGCCAGTCACTGTCTCAGTTACTTTCTGCTCATGGAGACACAATACCTGATACTCAAGCTTAAAAGAGGAGAGGTTTGTTTTGGCTCACAGCTTGTAGAAGTTTCAGTCCATAGTTGGCGGGCTCCAAGGCAAGCAGCATGGCAGAGGGGCACAGTGGGAAGGAAACAGTCCATGGCAGGGTAGCAGGAAACAGAAAGGGATCAAGGGAGGAGGAGGGAGACAGAACCTTGCAGGCCTCACCCCAGTGACCACCTCCTCCCCCCAGGCTTCACCTCCGAAATCACACTTCGCTATAAAATCATCAGTGGACTAATCCACTCATGAGCATCCTGCTGTCATGGAGTAATCATTTCCCAAAAGCTCACCAATGAGCACATAAGGCTTATGGGGATGGGGTCTTTACATAAACCATACCAGTTTTCAGCCCTCTTTATTTTCCATTTCATGTAGGTAAAAGGGTCTGTAGGTTTTACAGTGTATGGCTGTTCTGCTTCTCACTAACCTCCTTTCCTGCCATGTTACCCTTCTGTCGCTATGGAAGCCCTATTACTCATCCATGAACACTCTGAGCATTTTCTAACTCAAGACCATCAACTTGTTTCTCATTTTGCTGGGATGCATTCTCAAGTCTCCATTTCATTCAAATTTAGCTCATCCTTCAATTTCCAGAGCAGGCTCTTGTGCTCTTCCTGTCTGAAACTGTACCATTCACTACTTTCTTTTCCAATGCGTGCCTTATTTTCCCTCAATATTCTTTACTGACAAATCTTTCTTCCTTGTATGTGAACCACAAGAAGGAAAGACTATGTCAGCGTTGCTTGTTCTTGGATCTGATAGTTTTACAGTTGGATGGGCCAAAAGTAGTCCTGGTTCTTGCAGGTCAAGGAAAGAATTGCCAAATGCACATCTCATAGCAAGTAATAAGTAGCTATGTTTATTGAAAATCATGGGATGGTAGCCATAGAAACAGGTAGAAGGGCAAAATGAAAGCCTTGATGAGCACAAACACAGCTCAGGGTTCTGGTATTCGAAGAGTCAGACACCTCGCACTTTGGGCATCTCCCCCTCCATCGCTCACTGGTGTAGGCACCAGTGGTTTGCATCTCAGGCATCACAACCTCCTAAGAATAAATGCAATAACCAGGGTGCTGCTGTTCCAAAAGCAGAGTGAAGGGCTGGGATGGCAGTGGCTCCTTCAGCTCCTCTGTTCCCAACTGTATCGATCAGACTAGACCAGTGCCTGTCATATACTAAGTGCTCAGTAGTTCAAATATTTTAATTAAAAAGAAAACTAATGAATCTGAACAAGAACCGGCACCTAGCAAGTGTAAGTCTTCATCACACCTTATTCAGTGGCACAGTGGTTAACTTCTATTTATTTAGACTTTATATGGATGCAGAAGTTTAGTTTACATATTTTATGAGGCCAGTTTAGTCTCCTATTGCTCATTACTTTGGAAAACTACTGCTTCCCCACACAAATTTACTTGCTGTGTTTTTTAGAGAATAACACTTCCTGTTTTGCTAACTAAACATTTTTCTATAGTTGATTCTAATTAAAGAGGAGAAGGACTTTAATAAGCAAATATATGACAAAGATTAAAATTAATGCATACAAAGTTCCTAATTTGTCGCTGATGCTGAAGAAATCTAGCAACATTGGTGACATTAGCAGCAAGAACAGAAGGGGTCCTTACTGCTTTTATCCAACTACTTTGCTTTGTTTGATTTCCATTAAGACATTGGATTTAGTAAGAAGGCAGAGAGCCATTTTAGAAACTAATAATTGGAATAATATAAACATTATTTATGCCACATGAGGAAATATAATAATGACATTACAGAAAATGCTTCATAAGAGATGAGATACTTAGAAAAATCATAAAACCCACCACCAATGGAATTAGGTTTTTAAAATCACATTAACAAATCTTGGATAAAAAGTTAGTGGTTTACTTCAAAAGTGATTATGCATAATATTATATACATATAATATGGTTACATATAATGTGTGTTGTATGTTATATAAGCTATGTTATAATTTGTAAATTTAAAACTATAAGTATATGTTTCCAAGCGAATAATTATACAGTGGTGCTCATTACAGTGTCTGCCACATAGCACACATTAAGGAACTATTACTGCCTTATCCTACTCACTCGTCATTTTTTAAATTCTTTTCATGGGAAAGAATAATAAATCTATGCCATTAAACATAACAGGCTGTTGGACAAACTGCCATGTGCTTTGTACGATGTCACCTTCCACAGCAGTCACTCCTTTCTGAAATTCTCCTTTGTCACATTTTTGTGGTTGTTGTTGTTGTCGTTATTTGAGACAGGGTCTCACTGTGTAGTTGAGACTGACCTGAAACTCACTGTGTAGCCCAGGCTGGTCTCGAACTCACAGCAATCCTCCTGCCTCAGCCTCCCGAGTGCTTGAATTATAGGAGTGCACCTCCATGCCCGGCCATCATTTGTCACATTTGTACATCATTAGATCCCTAAATCTTTTCAGAGCTTATCACAAATTCCATTTTTGGACTTATTTTCCTCCAAGAGACGATTACACAAAAGAGAAGGTACGTGTTTTTATTAATGAAGAAATTAAAATGTGTGTTTGTTTTCTAGTTCTTTGGTTCTCTAAAGTTTTAGATGCTGTCACTTTTCTTGAAAAAAACCCAATTGTGAGACATGACTAAAACCATGGAGAAGTCAGAGTATCATTGTGCACGACTGCAAAATTCTCCACATGCCAATCTATTACATGATTATGGTAGTGTATGGCTTCCTGTGTGTGTGTGTGTGTGTCTGTGTGTGTATGTGTATGTATCTTGGATACCACATCATAGGAAGCACATGATTGTGACTTCTAGATTATAAGACAAGACCTAACACGACAAAAACCACTTGTATGACCTTAAGTATATGATATATTTTCTTATTATAGATTTCTTTGCCAACTACATATGCAAGTTACATTATGTCATCAGTCTGCAAAGTCAGATAGCAGTGTGTGTATTAATTAAGATTCTTACAGCTCTTCAGAAAGACAGCAGTTTTAGAGAAGGGCTGGGGAAGCTCCATTTTAACTCACAGTGCGCATCTCACTTTGAAATTCTATAGCCTGTACCCTTTAGCTCTAAGATCCTCAAGTGCTTTGTCTTCAGTGTTCTAAGCCTAGTGTTGAAAGGGGCATTTAAGCCTGGTGAGGCAATCCCTACAGTGAATCACACTGATACTTTTGCTAGTCACCAGGTTCGAGTCAGACAAGCTCTGCTGAAAAGCCACTGTCTTGGCCTCTTTTTGTGCCCCTGGCAGAATTGTGTGGATTGCGTAGTTGATAAGCAAGGGAAATTATTTCTCGTGATTTTGATGGTTAGGAAATCTGAGATCACAGTGCTGGCAGGTTACTGGGGGGAGAGGGCTTCTTTAGCAGTCCCCTCGTGAGGGAAACCAGGAAAGCTAGAGAACACTCCCATGAGCACAGGCCCCCTTATGAGAGTGCTGACCTGGTCAAGAGAGCAGAGGCCTGGGGACTGCATTACTCAAGCAACAGCTTTAATCCTGTTGCATTGATGATTCAGTTTCAACAGCACTCTTAGAGGGGACCTCATCTGTCAAACATCGCTCCGAGTGAAGGCAGCCTTTAACGCTCTCTCTGAAAATCTCAGTTTCTCTTTCAATACCATTTTTCTCGGTGAATTACATACTCTTTGGAGAATTTAGTTTGATATAAATAGCTTTGGGGCTTTTTATGGGCCTGTCTCTTATACAAATAAAGTAAGACTGAGCAGGACACAGCATTAATTTTCTAGTAGTAATTTTTGCAGGAGAAAAATTATTAAGCCAATCCAAGGCAAAAGGTTCGGTCATCCATGCCAGTGTGAGCACAGGTAGGTGGATGGAAGAGGGGGTGCTATGAATGGATGGATGGATGAGAGGATGGGGGGGATGGATGGGAGGATGGGGGGATGGATGGATGGACAGGAAGATAGTTGGGTGGATGGCAAATGATGTTTGACACAAAGATTCCTGATGCCAATTTCCTATCAATGCCAACTTACTTATTCCTCCCCTCCAAATTTGTTATCTGCTATGTTATTGTTTATGTTTTGTGGAAATTAAAACAGGACTTAATGTCTTTAAAATCCTAAAAACTACAAAGCTGCAATTTGTATACCAGAGTTAGAAAGCATTTAAATCCTATAGTTTAAAATCCAACATTGTGTGTTCGTCAGGAAAGCAAAAACTTACAAGCATTGCTATTAAATTCCTGAATACATAATAAGCTTACTTAACTTTGTTCTTTTGTTCTATTATTTTGAATGTGTACCTCCGCCCTCCCAGAATCATATACCTTCTTCAAGACTCAGCTCCAATGACTTGCTTTCTGCTGCTACTCCTGCTCTCCCTGCATGGAATCAGTGTGTCCTGGCTCTGCTCTTGTGACACTGAAATACATTCAAGGGTGGATGGAATATCTTCTTATGCTTTTTATTAAACTGGTGTTTTCAGTCACACCTTGTGGCCAGTTGATTTTAACTTCCCAAACTTTTCTCTGCTCTTTCAGTGTTACCCTCTTCTCCCAGCCCCAAGGATAGCTTCAGGCCATCCTACTCCCCTGGATGGGAAGCAGACGCCATGATGTTCCTCACATCCTCCACACTGAGAGCGCAGCAACTGTAATTAAACCACAGCACTCGGCAGCTTCAGTGCGCCCTGTCTCCCCATTCCCTAAGATAGACCCCAGACTCCTCAGCACCCCAGGCCTGGCATTTGTGAGCTGGTCCCCACTGTCTCTGTCCTCTCCACTCGTCCCTCCAGCGTTCAGCTGTGGTTTCCGTGAATCCCAAACTTCTCCCTCACCCCAAAATTTCCATATGTTACTAAGTCTTATGGGGAGGCTCATCTCTATTATTTTACCCGGTTAATTCCATCTTGTCTTTCAGGTCCTAGCTTCACTCTTGCTTCCTCTGGAAGGTGTTCTCTACCGCCCTCGCCCCGCACCTTCTAATAAAACCATCCCATTACAGATCCATCACTGGGATCTCCTGATCCAGTTACCCCCAAAGCCCATCAGCTGCCACCTAAGCCTAAGCCTTTAGCAGGGGGCCTTCAGATCCAAGTGATAACGACTTCCACTCTGCATAACAGGGGCTCTTGACCTCCATCCATCTCTATATATCAACCCCCCCTGAGATTATACACAAAAGTACCTACTTTCCTCTGCCCTAGGTATTTTAAAACAGTTTCTGGTTAGCTTGGAGACAACATTTGAGGGTTAATATTTCTGCTCAGCAAGTAACTCTAGTAATGGACAAAGACTGTGAATATAGGCTTTTCTTGAACATTTGTTAGCATTTGCTATACTGCTAAAATATTTAGTTGAAACCCAGAATGGTTATTTTCAAGTCTTAAGGCAGATTCATGAGAAAAATACTCAAAGAAGACAAAATGCACTTAGGAGAACCTGTAGTGTTCTCTTTTTGTTTGTTTATGTAGTGTTGTGTTGTTTTTAACTGGGATTCAAAGTTTCAAGGGAAATTACTGTCTGCATAACTAAGCTCTGCTTTAAGATGTAACACAGCAGTGTGTCCTGTGGCCTTCTACTCTTCTAGGACTCTATCTGAGCTTTAATTTTTGCATCACATCCTTTTCTGGTCTTAAAAAATACAAGGAAACCTTGAAGAAAAACAAAAACATATATCTTCAAGGTGTAGTCAAACTGGTGAACCCTGCTCTAAAGGGTTAGCTGCCTAAGTGTTCACCACTTTCAACTTTAAATTCAGATGTCTCAACACATGAAAGACAAACATTGCAAAGACCAAGCCCAAGCCAGACCAAGTTGGTCTTTATAGTCTCTCTGGTCCACAGTTCACCAGATTTGCTCTCCAGAACACTGGAACAAAAAGTGTCTTTCTCTTAGAACTTTCTTAGGACTCTCCTCCATGCAAGTGGAGGATAGAAAGAGAGAGGTTTTGTGGTTTCCGCAGAGACCACAAGTGGTTTCTTGCAAAGTGAGAGGCGTAGTGAACAGAGAACACAGCCTATGGACTCGAGTTCCTTCACATTTGACAGTTACTGTGGTGAGCACTCTGAAGCAAATTCCTTCACCTTGGATTTCTCACCGGGAAGTTTGTTAAAGTTTTCACTTGGGATATTTATGAAAAACAAAGGGATCATCTGGAACTGTACGACTGGTTCCATTCTGAAACACTAACCAATGGAACTAGCACGCGAGAGGGTAAGTATATGATACAGCAATTGTATACAAAAGGAGGAAGGGAGAATTTCAGTGTACATCATGATGAAAAGAATTAAGGACAAAAGGCATACGACATTTATAAAAAGGAAAACCCTAGAGCTAACATTATATTTGATGATGAAACCCTACTTGCTTTCCCCTGAAGGTTGGGATAGGTAAAGACGCCCACTTTCTACCACTCCTACTCAAGGTTGTACCAAAAGTCTTAGACAATGAGAAGAGGATAGAAAAATCAAATCAAAAGGATTCCATTGGAAAAGGGGAAACAAAGCTACCTCTATTTATAGATAGCATCTTTATTTGTGTAGAAAATCATAAGGAATATACAAAACTTCCTGAAACTAAAGCATATGTTTGCAAGTTCATAGAACACAACAACAGTATGCAAAAGCAACTGCATTTTTGTGTATGAATGATGATGAACAATGGAAAATGCAAACACAGAAGTTAAATCAATGATGTGTTAGTAGCTCACACAAAGTGAAATACTGAATTGTAAATCTAACAAAATCTATGCCTGATTTGTTTGGGAGAAACTTCAAAAAGATGTTGGAATGAACCAAAGAAAGAGCTGAATAGTTACAGATTGTCTACGTGTTGGAAGATTCTGTACAGTGAAATGTTAACCTTACTAATGGTAATAAACACACAAAAAATGCAAAAATGAGTCATATCAACAAGACTGTTGGATGCAGATGAGTTTGTTCAAAATATATATGAGGATAGGTAAAAGAAGTCAGACTGCCAAGATAGCGGGGCAAAAAAACCTGGAAGACACATTTTTTTTTCAACTGGGGATTGAACTCGGGACCTTTGCTTGCAAGGCAGGCAACGGAACCACTCCCCCGCTTCAAAGACACAATTTTTAAGACATAAAATTAATATAATTAGCATAACTTAGATGAAAGGATAGACAAATAACCACTATAATCAAATAGAAAATTTAGAAAGAGGCCCACATAAATAAAGACAAGGGATTTGTTTTTAACAAAGCTGAAGCAGTAACTGAATGGAGACAGCCAGGCGCTTTTTATTCTCTTTTGACAGTGCTAGAACAAGTCAGTCATATGTTAGACATGACTGCTGTCTGACACCATCACAGCATGCAAAAAATATTAACTCTGAATAGGTAACCGTCATAACTGAAAAGTCAAAGCTATACAAACCTGGGGAAATGTATCTATGGCTTGGGAATGGCAAAGATTTATAATTAAGACATCAGAAGTATGATCTGTTGAGGAAAGAAAGTGAAAAAGTAGCAAAACTAGAAAAAAAATCATAAAGGAAAATTTCCTTGACATTAGCCTTAATGATGATGTTTAATATTGCATCAAAAGCTTAGGCAACAAAAGCCAAAACAAACAAATGAGATTACATCTACAAATTCCATATGAATGTTTATTATGTATTGAGCAATAAACATTATTAGCATAATTTATAGTCACAAAAACTGAACAAAACCTATTGTTCTTCGGTGTGTGATTGGATAAACAAATTGTATATTCTCTGCACAATGGAATTAGTGCCTGGCATAAAAGGAACAAATTTGAATATTTATACAAGCATAACTCTCACATACATCTTGCTAAGTGATAGAACCATATCTTAAGTGATATACAAAGAACACACGTGTGAATTCGAAATAGTTTCTCTAGTGTGAGAAACTGAAAGTGTAAAGAAGGACAAAAAGGTATAATGGATAATGTGAAACAGAAAGGAAAGGGACAAGGGGAAGGGGAAGAGGGAGGGGAAAGGAAAGAAGGGGATGGAATTAATGTGAGAAAATGAAAAGTAACGGAAACAAAGTCTTTATAGATAAGGAGGGAGGGAGGGGTTGAAGGAGGCCAGGGGAATGAGGAAAAATGAGAACTAAGAATGATTATGTAAAGGTGCAAATTTCGAAAAATGAATGTCATTATATCATATACATTAAATGCACCAATAAAATTGAATTTTAAAAAGTGATATATTTTATGATTTCCTTTGCATGACAGTTAAAAGGTAAAAATAAAGTGGTTTTTTTCTATGGAAATTAAAAATCAAAGAAATAAAAGAGAAAAATACATACATAAGCTACCTCATGAAATATATATAATTTTTTGTTGAAGAAAAAAAAGATATTTGGCCAAAAAGCAGTTCTAGTTTTATTGAACTCAACGCATAGAAATACACAATATAGCCTACCTCGTAATTGTAAACTACGATGTATAAAACTATGATGTTAAAAATTAAAGATCCAAATACTATTAAATTAAAACTGGTATTTTGACTTTCTCTAAAATAAACATCATGGGCAAAAGTAGTTTACTAATAATGGGTGACAAGTTAGCTACTAATTACACAAATAAACAGTTAATGACAATGATGTAATATACTATCTTTAAAACAAAACTCTGGCTTTTAAATATGGACTGGTGTTTTACAGTTCCATAGAGTAGTAAGAATTAAAATTTTCACATCTTGAATAGGTTGAAAAAAAGTATCTAGCATTGTTATTATGTCCTGTTTTCTTTTAGTAATGGTGAATTAATTTTCCTCATTCTGAAGCTTTCATAATCAGCTTTCAATTATCAATTTTTTGTGAAATTTCCTATGAATTCCCAATTACCAATAATACAATGTTGCTATTATCATCAGATTTGCATCTTCTATGGGAATGTGGAGAAAAATCCGCTAATTTTCAATTTCTGAGTATTCACCTGTGAACTGCTGCCATCTTCCAGCATCAGTGATGGTTTTCTCCAGGGATCTCTTTTGGGGCTCTTTCAGATCCTCTATTATTTTGTTGTTCCAGAACCAGGCCTTGGCAAAGGCTTCTGACCTGTGGAAGATTTGAGGTCCTGACTATGTCGTGGCTTAAATGATTGCATTTGTAGCTAGTTGTTACACAGAAGAAAAAAAACAAAAAAACAAAACACCATGAATCCAAGCATGATTATACTTCTAACATCTGCAAACTAAGTAAGATGAGGGTTGTCTCTGTCTCGACTGCGAGATAAAAATGAGTTCAGCTAAGGCACAGTTCTGCAGAGTGATGATGAATGTGGATGCTCTCTGCTACAACTTAGAAATATCTGCGCTCCCAGCTAATACTGGATTGACTGATAAAAACTGACTTGAAATATATATCATTAATAAAGCAATACTTTAATTTAGAGATAACTTGCTCATGATAAATCTTTAAGTCATTGCTGAAGTTTCAAAATTCTAAGTGTCTTAATTTATTACCGGTTTAAAATTATGCTTTGGGGAGAATATTATCCACATTCATTGCTACTTTAGAGAGCATGCTGCTAAAAGAAGCACTGATGTATGTTAAATCTGCATTAGTCAAAGGCTCGAATTGGAGAGAGAGCGGGAGGGAGAGAGAGAGAGAGATGAGGCTCATGAGATTATGCAGGTTGCTGGAGACCCTGTGAACGCAGCAACCTGGCCCGGGAAGCCCAGGACCAGGGAATCCCAGTCAAAGGCCTGAAAAGACAGGTGTGCTCCGTGTTAACACTCAGAAACTAATATCCTGAGAGCCTGGCTATTCACAGGCAGATGAGTGGCCCAGGAGAGGCAGGCAGCTGTCTTCCCTGTGTGTTGCCATCCATCTTAGCTGGCGGCCAGAGGATGGTGCTGCCTGCCTCGAGGAAGCATCTTCCCTGCCCAGTCAGACACTCGCCTACCGGGTCTTGGTGGAAAGGGCCTCTCAGACGTGCGCAGAAATGGTGCCTCCTCACCGGGTCTCCGGGAGACACCTAAGTCAGTCTCCACTTAACCCACCCAGTACGGTTTGTGCACGGTCAGGCACAGCGTGGCACTTGGTGCTCAGCAGCACTGCATCTCATCTCAGGCCTTCGTCTTCTCCTGCCTGGGTTGGCATAAAGCTTGGAAATGCTTCCTCCACCCCCACGCACCCTGCAGCAGATCAGAACTCCTCGCCTCAGGGCGCTGCAGGAGCCACTATCTCGGGTGTGTTCCCGTCTCAGGCGCGCTCCTCCTCGGAGCTACTGTATAAAGTTTTACAAATAAGTTGCATGATGAAATATACGTGGAAAAAAATCTTTTACATAATACCCGAGTTTCTTGGCCGCAAGATTTTCTTACTGCCTTTAACACGTCGCTAGGCATTATTTCCAAGCTTATATCTAAAGCTTTCAGGAGTGCTTTGTCTTTTTGTAACCCCCGAGAGCACTGATTCCCTTGCAGCGTGTTATAAACATGCTGGCCCACAGATAACAGGCACGTTGCTTCACGTAACTTACAGATTCCCTTGTGATTGGCCCCTACCTGTTTTTTTAATCCTTCCTGCGCCTCACTTTTCCAGGCTTTTCTAGGAGTTAATTGTATATGTCTCAAGGTGATAGGTTTTCTCTGGAAGGTTCCCCTTTCCCATTTGTTATTTGCTGTATTTGCAGCAGCTCATCAGGCACCGGCACCTCGCACTGTGACACTGTGACTTAGGGAACAGAAGCGAACCCCTCTTCTCGGCCCGTCACAGACTCCCGCTGACCCTCTACTCCAAGTATCTCCTTAAACTTGCAAAACTGACAGCTCCTTCTCCGAGGGGGAAGATCTTGTCTTCACACTTTGTCTTTCTTCTTTTCCATGTGTCTTAATTTGTAGGTAATGCCCGGCCTATATTTAATACCTGTTTGTGAAGAGTGAGTGAAAAATTAGTGAAAGCAGAAGGAAGAATACTGAGTGATTAATATTTCAACATTGACTTTCGGCTTATGTCCATTGAATAAATAGTACTTAGTTTTTCCCTTCTCAAGGCCTTTGCTTGTATCCTGTTTTCTTGATGTCAGTGAATTTCAAATGCGCTAGTTAAGCCCAGAAGTCTCGTTGACACAAGTCTCTAACCCTCATTAAGAGTATATGTTAGCATAACCTAGAGAACATTCAATCGGGCCAAACAGGTGTGGGGCAGGGCTCTTCAAGGTCGTGCTTAGGGTTATGAGTGAGAATCCTCCCTGCCCTAAAGAAATGTACAGTCTTGTCCACAGTGACTTTCACATGTGAGCCTCAAAGCAAAATGTGGAAACTGGTTATGGTCTGAAATTCTACCCTGGGCTGTTTTGTTAATATTCTTCTGGCAAACAACCTCAGGGGCTTATACTGAAATTATTTTTTGTTGAAGAACTAGAAGAGTAAGTCATCTTTGTATATTTCTCTGTTATCTGAATGATATTAACAACTTCTTTTTCTGTCAAATGCCTTTTAGATGTCAAAAATATATGCAGTTTGTTTCTTCAGGGATACACATAAGACTTTTACATTTTTTTCATTTTAATTTTTCAGCAGTGAAGGAAGAATCCTGGGCCTCGTGCATGCAAAGCGCACACTCTCCCGTGGAGCTGCACCCTGGCCCCGGCAGGCCTTCCTCGTTCTGTTTTGTTTTGGGCATAGGCTGGCCTTACAGCATGCCTTAGGAACTGATGTTTTCCTGTGCAGGGAAGACAAGCCCCCTTCCATCATTAAAGGAGTTGACAACGCTAAAAATTTAAAAGTAGAAATTATCTAGCTCTAAGTCAAGTGTGAGAAATAACTCAGTTATAAAAGTTTCTTTCTACATAATCTATGCTAACATCTGTATAATACCATTTATTTCTCACCTGGGTGTAACTTCCATTTTTTTATATTGTTTCTGAGTTAAAAGAAAAAAATGTTGCTTTGTGGCATAAAAGCTTTTGAAACTTGATTCTTTTTTTTTCTTTTTTCTTCTTTTTTTTTTGCTTTCCTCCTGCCACACTCTTATGGCTCAGGCTTGAAATCTTGCTACATCTCATAATACACAACATCATTGATCACTGATAACAAAGCAGATATACACAGTAAGTACTAAGGCCTAAGCATTACTCTAACCCTTGATGTTTCTTTATCTACTTAAATATCCCCCTCATAATTCTGTGAGTTAAGTATTATTATTTTCAAGATAAGGAAACTTTCTCCTATACTTATTGGCCATTTGGACTTTTTCTGCAAAATATCTATTGATTTCAATTGCCTGCTGCTATTGGCTTTTTTATTTTGAAGAGTCTATTTTTTTCTGAGTTCTTTATATATTCTAGATATTAGTCCTTTGTCCACCTGGTAGCTGAAATTTTTTCCCAGTCCTTTTAATCTGTTGTTTGTTTACTTTGTTGTGTAGAAGCTTTTTAAATTGATGAAGTTCTGTTTGCTGATTGTCAATGGTATTTCTTGTCTGATCAAGTCCTGTTCACAAAGTCTTTACTGATGATCATATCTTCAGAGTTTTACCTTCTATCAAATTGTTTCTGTTTGAATATCCAGGTCCTTATTGTGTTTTTATCCTGTGTTAGAACATGATAATAGCTATGGTTCTAGACTCAATCTTCTGAACATGAGTAATCGGTTTTCCCAAGACCATTTCTGAAAGAGGCCATCTTTCCTTCACTGTGTACTTTCTGCCCTTTGTTCAACACTGCTGTCCATTAAAAAGGAAAAAAATTAAAGCAATACCTAGATGCCTTTTTACTGCAGAAGGATGACTCTCATCAAGAAATAAAATAATGAAAAAATTCTGGCGAGGCTGTGAGATAAAAAGGAACCCTTACACATTGATCCCTCACAAAATTAAGACTAGAAATGCCATTCTACCCAGCTATCTCCCTTCTAGTTATCTTCCCAAAAGAGTTAGGAGTGTTATGTACATTTACCACCTCCCAAGGATAAATGTAATCACTATGTCCCACAAACACATACTAATAAAAAATTCAAAAATCAAAGAAAAACAGAAATAGTCCAAAAAACTTTAAAAGATAAAGAAATTTCTTGACGATGTACACAGTGAAACCACCTGCCTTATACTTCCACTCATCCATGTGCAAGAAGGCAGGATAGAGAAAATGAATGAGAGTCCCTTCCCGCCCTAAGGGAGATCATCACCCCACAGAAAGATACACAATCTGACAACACTAAACCCCGGATGTGTTACATTGTAGCAGCCTGGGAAACTCTAGCTAATACTGTCAGGGAACTCAGAAAGCTTTCCCAGTGGAGGAGATCCATTTCTGAAGGAGAGAAAATTTTCGTGACAGAGAAGTAAACAAAAAACATACACAAGGTGGGAGACTTGCTAGGTATTTTAAGGAGAATGCACATGGACTGTCTGTAATGAATTTATGAACTTGACCAGATTGAAACTTAACAGAAATAATTTCTGCTCAAATTGAAACTTAGTGGGAATAATTTCTACTATACATTTATCTCTTATTTCTAATTTTCCGTACTGTGTCTTCTAAAAAGATCCTCTTACAGTAAAAGGAATCTATGAATCCAAGTTTGAGTCCTCCCAAAGAAATCTATGTGACTCCTAGGAAAAGAGCAAGGGACGGAATAGTAGTTGTGGTTGAGGGGATGCCACTTAAAGTAGCTCGGATCAATAAGTGGACCGTCATTCTTGTTACGATAATATTCTCATCTTATTTAGGATATAGTCAAATGGATATTCAATTTAAACAAAAATCCATGTGTACTTACAGCATTATTACGGTAGATGGACTACAGGAGCATTCAAATTTCAGCAGAGTTTACAGTGCAAAGTAAACGACTTGAGTTTCAACTGCGATTTCAGTCGTTACAGGGTCAAGAAGCGCTATCCGTTTCATTTACTTCTGTACCCTTACTGTCTGGAAGGTGCTTCTACCAGGTATTGCTGCAATAGCTGTCAGATGTTGAGTCAAGTAATTCCTTAATAGACTCTTCTTTCAGTCGGTAGTCAGCTACTTCCTGTACGTGCCCACCCAGTACCAGGTACTGTGTGTGTCAACAGGACAAAAATAATTCCTGCCCATGACTAGAGAGACCATATGTTACGTAATAGCCTGACATTTAAATGCAAACACAAAACATTCTACTAATGCTGTGAAGAGAAGAGACAGCACGGAGAATGGGTCTCTTCAGGACAAGCGTGTGACTTCGAAAGGGATGTTTCCTACAGTAAGGAAGCTGAGGGAAAGAAAGAAAGCATTCCAAGAGAAAAGCGTAGGCCATTGAAAATCACACGTAATTACTGCAAATGAAAGAATCGTGCAGAAACCTCAAGATAAGATTAAGGACTCTTGTTCCACTTTCATGACTTTTAAAACTTAATTCTGTTCACTTACAAAGCCCTTCACTAATTTGTACCTTTCTTTCATGCACTAAACTTGTCAGAGAGCTTCTCTTATGCACCATAATACATTGCACTGGATTGAGACCAATTTTGATTTTGCAAATCGTGCCATTAAGGGCCGAGCGTGTATGGTTCACTCTTGTGTGCTGCAGGTGGCCTCGTGTACGGCCGACAAGCTTGCAGTACCTCTAAGGAACAAGTGACCAAGAGTGTGTACGTAAGCAGGTACAGAAGGGGTGACCCTGAATTTTATTCTCTGTTAACAAAGGTGCATGTGCTACTTTTTGCTAACATGGGTTGTGTTGAGTCTCTCACTGCGCCTGTGATTTTCATTTGTATCTCATCATGTACCCCAGCGAGGGGACATCCAGGGACCATGACAACCTAATGTCCCCATGCTCTCTAGCTACCATTTCAGTTGGCATAGCAGAGCCTCCTGGCACAAGATCCCATGGAGACCTCAAAGAGTTTGAGATTTTTTTTTTCTTCTGGTTCCTTCCTGTTAGTCAATGGTCTAACTGTGACAGCACTCATTTACCTAAACATTTAGGTTTTGCTAGATTTCATTCTGACAACTATATAATGGTCTCCAGGTAGCATTTCTCCTCCCTTCAAGACAAAGAGTGATAAATATTTCTGTGCCCTTCTTAGCTGTAAAGAGCTTCCTCAACCATTACTGAGTTCTGCATATTTAGGCCATGCCATTGCAAACATTCCTTTTACTAAACGTTTTTCAAGTACTCTCAATTAGCGCTTCCCAGCTACTAGGTTTGATAGCAATGTCTTTTTTTCCCCTTATGCAAAATCATGAAATGAAAGGTGAATGAAGGAAAAACTATTATAACAGAAGTTTCAGATTAAATAAAGCAGCAGCCTGTTCTCTTGCTAAGAACAGAGGCTATGAAATCACAGGAGCCTGGCTTTTTCCAGGCCCCAGTACTCACTGGACATGAGACTTGGACAAGTTATTTGAACCCTTTGCATATTGAAAAATGGAAACATGAAAAGGGCCAAGTCCCAACAAGGCTATTGTGAGAAATAAAATACAGGTAATAAACAGATTGCACTTGCCACTTCATGCACACTCAAAATGGTGACTGGATCACTAGAAGCAACTCCCGCCAAAATGGATACACTTGAGTAATAAATCAGGAAAGTTCTTTCAAAGAAGACAGCACTACAGTGATTTCAACAAGGTCACATTAGAAAATGCGTGCTTTCCCCACAGTGGGTATTATATAAATAAATATGCTTTGATTATAGCCACTAATACAGAAAAGTGTTGAATTTTATAAAAGTAAGCAGCATCCCAAGATCCCACCCACTTATGTGGCTGTGGTACTTGGGTGGATCCCGGAGCTCTTCACAGAGACACATTCCCAGGCATCTTTCATTTTGTATTTTGAGGCAGAGTCTTGTTAATTCACTGAATTTCCCAGGCTGAAC